CCCCTGTGACCCCGTGTCCTGCCGTGCCCCCCGTGTCCCTGTCCCCCTGTGATCCCGTGTCCTGCTGTGTCCCCCGTGTCCCTCTCCCCTTGTCCCCGGTGCTGGCTCTGAGTGTGTCCCCCTGCAGGGAGGGGGAGGCCTGGTGGGGGTCGCGGCGGGTCCTGGCCCGGGGGCTGCTGCTGCCGGGAGCGGCCGAGGCCTTTGCTGGCCCGGTGGCGGTGGCGGTGGCCGAGCTGGTGACGCGGCTGCGGCGGCTGAGGCGACGCCACCCTGGGGGGGTCGTGTCCGACATCGGCACTGAGTTCAACCGCTTCGGCCTCGAGGGTGAGGGGCGACCCTAAAGGGCAGGGACGCTCCCTCAGGGCTGTCCCATGTCCCCCATGTCCCACCCGTGTGCCCTGGGTCCCCTCTTCTCTGTCCTCCACCCGTGTCACTCGTGTCCCCATCCCCCACCGTATCACTGTCCCCCCTGTTCTTGTCCCTCCCCGTGTCCTGGCATCCCCCATGTCCTTGTCCCTGCTTCTGTCCCCTCTTCCCCCTTCCTGAGTGTCCCCTCCGTGCCCTGTCACCTGTGTCCCTGTCCCCCACCTGGATCTCTGTCCCTCTGTCCCCCACCTGTGTCCCTGTGTCTCCCCAAAGGGTCCCTCATGTCCCTCTCTAAGGCCTGCACCCCCCCGAGGCTGGAACCTCCCCCTACAGGGACCCTCCCTGTCCCCCCAAGGGACTCAACAAGTCCCCAGGTCCCCCATGTTCCCCAGTGTCCCCAGGGAATCTTGGGTTCCCCCATCCCACTGTCCCTGCGTCCCCGGGGTCTTCCATGGTCCCCAGGGTGCCCCAAGTCCCAGTGTCCCCCCCATATTCCCATCATCTCTGTGTGCCCATTGTCCCCATGTCCCCCTGTCCCCAGTGTCTCCCCATATTCCCATCATCCCCATGTCCCCCTGTCCCCAGGGTCCCCTATATTCCCAGGGTCCCCCCATGTTCCCAGGGTCTCCCATGGTCCCCAGGGTGCCCCATATCACCCATGTACCCCTGCCCCCTGTGTCCCCATGTCCCCAGTGTCCCCATGTCCCCAATGTCCCCATGTCCCCCCAGCCATCTCCTGGGTGCTGTTCTCCTCCCGCCTGGGCTGCCTGGAGGACAACGGGGACCCCGAGGCCACCGAGGCCACCGAGGGTGTGATCCGGTGTGTGGGGGCGGTGCTGGCACTGACCCTGGTGACGATGGCACTGCCCAGGCCCCTCCTGCGCCTCGTCCCCGCGCCCTGGGACGCCTTCTGCCGAGCGTGGGACCAGCTCTTCGCCTTCGGTGAGGGGACAGGGGACACTGCAGGGACACAAGGACATCCCCTGGGGACACAGGGACACCCACTGTGGACACGGGGACACCCACTGGGGAAACGGGGACATCCACTGGGGTCACAGGGACACCCACTGGGGACACGGGGACATCCACTGGGGACACGG